GCTTTTGGTGGATTTGGGCTCTTCGGTTTGGCCTCCTCCATCTCCGACGGGGATGGCTGAAGCACGGGCGGGCGCAGGCGTCGTTCGTGCGGTTGTCGCGGCGTTCGCGGCGTGACCGGGGGGCGGGACGCGGCACGTGCCCGACGGCGCATGCTCGGGAGTCTTGAGACCGGGGGTCAATGCAAACGGGGGTCAACCAGAGCGCCCTTGCAGGACTCTGCAGGGCCAGGGTCGAATTGACCCGGGCTTGGGTGCAGGATCCTGCAGGATCCTGCAAGATCCTTCGCACTGACCCGGGTCTGGGTGCAGGATCTTGTAGGACCTTGCAGGATTCTGCATGGCTTGCCCGACTGACCCGGGTCTGGATTGACCCGGGTCAGGATGCGCGTTGGAGTTTTGATCGGCGCGGTGCCGCGTGTGCTGCGTGAGGGTGAGGAGGAGGAAAGTCCCTCTACAGGAGGAAAGTTCAAAATTAGGCAGAAAATAGTCTGGGGCCGATTTTTTGAAAATATATTTTGTATGTGTTTGATGTATGTTTTGACTATTCTTGTTTTTTGTCCGACATCCCCTTGTAGGGGGACAGGCCCGCCTTAACTGTAGGCAGATAGTGCCAGACACTCGCGACCGCGCGTTTCAGGGTTGCGCGCCGTTCGTGCGTCGCTGATGCGGCGTGCCCGGAATACGTTTGAACAGAAACGGGAAGGCATTACATGCGGTTCCTTTTCGAGTTCACGCGGGTCGCGTGGCGCACCGTGTGCAGATGGCGCTCCTTTGCCCCGCGCGCGCGTGCGCCTCTTCGGCGTCGCGTGCTCTGTCAGCGCCGCTGTGTAAGCCTCTGCCGCGCCACTTTCTTTTTCCGTTTGCAGTGTTGGCGTTCTTCCCGTTCAACAATATGCGGGGGGCGCGGGTATGGTTTTGCCTTGTCGAGATCGCGCAGGCGGCGCAGCATAGGTCCCGCGACGCTGACATATCGGCAGTTGGCCTGACAGTTAGTTTTGGTGTTGATTGTGTTGCGCGGGTTTTGCATTATGTTTTGGACGGTGATTGTTTCGCGTATGGTTGTCCCGTCGCGAGGACGACCGTTTTTTGTATTTGTCCCTTCTCCACCCCCTTCTTTCCCACCGTTCCCGTTGCAAGTTGCCCCCGTTGCCTGGCTTCTCGTGGGGGGTGGGTTTGCGGGTCCATGGGAACGGACCAGCTACGCGCAATCATTGTCAATATCCAGATGCTTTGCGGCATGTTCTTTCGCCGCGCCAGCCCAGCACCCTGCGTGGCGATTGCAGGACATGAAGATCATTTCGAGGATGATGATGGTGACGACGATTACCACGATGAGAAGGACGAGGGAGAGAGGGAGAATATTCGGATAACGAGGAGGAGCACCAGGAGGAGGAGGAGGAGGCGGAGTAGGAGGAGGAGGAGGAGGAGGAAGAGAAATATTGTCGTCGCATGTGGCACGCTTCGTTTCACGTCTTGTCGAGTTCTCACGGAGCTCATTTGTGCCGTGTCGGGGTTGCCTTGAGCTCCTACGAGGCAGTATTTTGGGGAGCTTTGGCTCTCTTGCGCCGGGTCGGGGCCCTATTGGCCTGTCTTGTTGGGCCGTCCTGAGGCTGTCTTAGAAGCAGTTTGGGGATCGACTTGGCGTGGACATGTTGTGGTGAGCCCGACGGGGCCATGAAGGTTTCGTTATGCAGGATTGTGGCTCATGAAAGGTCCCTTCACCAGCACTAGCGACCTTTGCCAGGACATCTCTCTTCCCATCACCTCTCCTGGGCTCCTTAAGAAGTTGCTGCGCCAGGGTGCCTCGAGGTCCGTGGAGAGGTCGGCCAGCTCATCCTTTGACGTCACGGGCAGGCTGTGCTTCGACGCGATGGCGGTAGCTACTCGTTCGTTCAAGTTCGGTACTCACACGAGGGGTTCCATGAAGGCTGTGCTCTGTGGGGATACTTGGACTTGTGCAAGGCCATTCTTCTAGGACGCCAGTTCTGCCCCAAGTGTGCTCATTATGGGGAGCCCGATTCGCTGTTTCATAGGCTTTGGCTATGCCTTTTCTACGCTTAGCTTAGAGTGTCCCTGGTCAAATCTTGGATTCTCGAGGCCTCCAAAGACCCCGAAGTGGACCTCCTGTTTTTCATTAGAGGCCTACTTAGGCACCCTGTGGATTTTTATCCGCCTCCCCTTACTGATGGGGGCGTGGATATTGTCTGGCACGACGACCCCGATGAGTGGGGTGGAGGCTTTTCTGGCCACATTTTGATGGACGGTTCGTGCTTCGCGGGCTATCTTGTGCGGGATGGGGCCGCTCTGTTTTTGCTGCTGACCTTTCATGCCTCGTCTGCACTGTCATTGCCCCTGTGTGGAGCCCCACTCCCCAAACCAGTCTGGGGGGTGAGTATTCTGCTTCCGGAGGTGTTGTATTTCTTTCCAGGAGTCCCAGCGACTACTACACCGACTGCTTCAACCTTCGCAAACGGTGTGTCATTCTCCGGGTTTCGCCAACCAGATTGACCATCAGCGTGTGGACAGTGGTAGTTGCAGGTGCTCTCGCAGTCGAATCGGGTAGGGGCCTGGCCTGAGCTGTCCGAACACGTCCTGGACGTCGCCCGTCTTCCCAGACCCCCGACGTCGTGCGTTCTTTCTCATGGCGTCGACCCTCCGAGGCCTCGGCCCATTCCCGAGGAGCGGCTTTCCATGCCGAGGCGTTTCTGTAACGCTCCGGAGGGCTGGCGAGGGCCCCCGGAAGCCGAAGATCGCGAAAGACCTCCCGTTTTACCAGCCTCGTATCCCTGAGATTGACACGCCAAAAGGCGATGACAATCTTAGGGATGCGCCCTCAAAAAATAAGGGAATCCCTGAGATTGGCATCGTGATGAGGCGATGCCCAGCATAGGGATAGGGATATGTTCCAGGCTGGTAACCGTTGTGATTTTTTTCGGAGCGTGAGGGGGTCTGGGTCCTCGGCCCTGGAGGCGCAGCGCGCCAGGAGCGTAGCGCGCCGAGAGCAACCGCTCGTGGAAGTGGGCTTCGCCCGCTCGGCCCGGCGAAGCGCTGGGCGGCAGCCCTCCCCCCCTCTCGGGCCGGGCGGAAGGGGTGGATTGGGAAAGGGGGGGTTACGAAACTTGCTGCGTGCAGCTGGTTTCGGCCCCACCGAGGGGCCCGTTCCTCGATACATGGCCGCCTCCGGCGCCGGGAGGCGCCGGGAAAATCAGCTACGTGAGCTGATTCTCAAACCCCCCCTTTGCTATGAGCTTGTTTTTTTTTGATTCAGGCAAGTTTACTTGCATGGCGTTCGTCCCCCCCACCCCACACTCATCCCCCCCCCCCGTCCATGCAAGTAAACTTGCCCGAGTATAAAGAAAAACAGGCTCTATCCCCCACTTTCGCCCGGCCCGAGTGGTGTGCCGGAGGAGGGCGAGAGGCTGCCTGCGTCTCAGCGGGCGGCGGCATCGCGGGTTTCTAGAGAGGAGCTGCTGCAAGCCCTACGTCGGGCCTGTCCCTCTTCAGGAGGAATGTGCAAAAATAGGCAGAAAATTGTCAGGGGACGATTTTCCAGTGATAAGTTTTTACTACGTTTGACTATTTCTTGACTGTTTTTAATTAGTTGTTCCCTCCAAAATCCGCATGTGGGAGGATATGCCCGACCTCATGCAAGCCCTAGGGGAGCGCGTGCTCCTGCCGCTTGCGGGCGCGGTTCTTGGGGGCCACTGCCGCCGGCGCCGCGCGCGGCACACCTAATGTGCCTCCTCCGCGCCCGTGAAGACGATGGGGCGGGCCGCATGGATCGCCGCGCAGGTGAAGGCGGCGCCAGAGAAGCCGAGGAGGCACACTACCCAGGAGACGAAGCAGTCGACCTGGATGAACAGAAACACCCAGATGAATACATCCATGCACCGCGCGCTGATGATGCCGCTGAAGAGGTCGACCTGGGCGAAGGAGAGCATCACCCGAATGTATACACCCACGCAGTAAATGCTGAGGATGCCTCAGAAGGAGCTGGCCTGGATGAATAAGAACATCACCAAAGCAACGGCTTCCGTGGTCGTTGTGGCCGTAACCATATGGGCTTGCAGGTCCATCACCACCCAGCCGAATTTGTTTCGCCTCTCCCCCCTGCTGGCACCCAGCCCGTGAGAGTCAAAGATAACAGCGCTGTCGCAACCAGGCCCCGTGCAGGCGAGGAAAGTGGCAGCGGTAAGGCGACGGACCACCCCTCGATTGCGTCGGTCAAGTCTGCGAGCGCCTCGCCCAGGAGAGTCACAGCAAAGCGCAGCTTCACAAGGGCGTGACATGACCAGACTGCAGACGCAAGTGGAGGCGCAGGAAGCAAGTATCACATAATGTGGATGCAGAGGGCCTCGTTGACCGAGTCCTGCGTCTCCTTCGCCATCGGTGCACGAGCCCCAGGCCGATGAAAAGGCTCCTCAAAATAACTAGAATGCGAAACAACAACGTCCATCCTCCCAAGGACGCTGCAATCGTAGTGGGTGAAACGCTTGTTGGAAGACCCCGAAGCATCATCGCAGGTAACCAAAACGCCGTAGAACTTCAAACCCCAGGCCGCTGGCGGTGGTAGGCAGCAGCCATACAAGCATCACCCCAAACCGGGTACGTTACGCTCATCCTTGTAGCGTATGTCGCTGCAGCCTTTCGCCGCCTCCGAGTGGTGGTTGCCTCTACCACGCGTCTTCCAAAGGGCGCGGACGCTACTGCTGGTGATGGAATTACAATTGCATGATTGTTTGATTTATCGAACGACTCGCTGCTACGGAATGCACATGTTACGCGTTTGATGCTCGTCTTGCAAAACTTTAGAGTTGTGTTTGGGTCGGAGGAGAGACCCGAAGATTGGCAAGGACAAGTACAAGTACAACCCAGATGCCTGGAATAATTGATGCACGTGCCTCCATCCCAAGGAGGAGAGGCAGGAGGAGAACGAGGAGGGAAGGAGGAGAAGGAGGAGGATGAGGAGGAGGATCGGTATCCCTGGCCCAAGCCCTCAGGACTGCGAGGGCTGCCGGCACACATGTACCCTGATGGGCGGGGGCGAGGACAAGACGCCCGTGACCAAGGCGGCCCGCGGAAGACGGGCGCGGGCGCGCGGCACGCGGCCGCAGACAGGGTAATGGGGAAGCGGATGGAGGCAGAGCGGGGGCTGGGACAGAAGGAATGAGATGGAGGAAGACGATGGGGATGAGGGAGCGTGAGGAGGAGAGGGATGATGAGGGGAAGGGGTAGTAGTAGTAGTAGCAGTAGTAGTAGCTGTCGTCGTCGTCGTCGTCGACGTCGTCGTCGTCGTCGTCGTAGTAGTAGTAGTAGTAGTAGGAATAGAAGTAGTAGCAGTGGTAGTACTAGTAGTAGTATTGGTGGTAGTAGTGGTCGTACTAGGAGTAGTAGTAGTAGTAGTAGTAGTAGTAGTAGTAGTGGTAGTAGTAGTAGTACTCGTAGTAGCAGTAGTAGTCAAAGTTGTAGTAGTAATAGTCGCAGTCATTGTAGAAGTAGTCCCACTTGTAGTAGCAGTAGTATTCGCATTCGTGATCGTAGCTGCAGTAGGAGTACCCATGGTAATCGTAGGAGTAGCAATACTCGTAGCAGTATAAGTTCTTCTAGTAGTCGTGAGGAGGAGAGGGATGATGGGGGGAAGGGGTAGTAGTAGTAGTAGTAGCAGTAGTAGTAGTAGCAGTCGTCGTAGTAGTAGTAGTAGTAGTAGTAGTAGTTGTAGTAGTAGTAGTAGTAGTAGTAGTAGTAGTAGTAGTACTAGTAGTAGTCGTAGTCGTAGTCGTAGTCGTAGTCGTAGTCGTAGTCGTAGAGGTAGTCGTAGTAGGAGTAGTAGTAGTAGTCGTCGTCGTCGTCGTCGTCGTAGGAGTAGTAGTAGTAGTAGTAGTAGTAGTAGTACTCGTCGTAGTAGTAGTAGTAGTAGTAGTAGTCGTAGTAGTAGTAGTAGTAGTAGTAGTAGTAGTAGCAGTCGTAGTCGTACTAGTAGTAGTAGTAGTAGTAGTAGTAGTAGTAGTAGTAGGAGTAGGAGTAGGAGTAGGAGTAGGAATATAAGTAGTAGCAGTGGTAGTACTAGTAGTAGTATTGGTGGTAGTAGTGGTTGTACTAGGAGTAGTAGTAGTAGTAGTAGTAGTAGTAGTACCCGTAGTAGAAGTAGTAGTCGTAGTAATAGTAGTAATAGTCGTAGTCGTCGTAGAAGTCGTCCCAGTTGTAGTAGTAGTATCCGTATTCGTGACCGTAGCTGTCGTAGGGGTACCCATGGTAAGCGTAGGGGTAGCAATACTCGTAGCAGTATAAGTTGTTCTAGTAGTGGTAGTAGTAGTAATAGTAGTATTAGTAGTACTACGACTACTAGGAGTAGTAGTAGTAGTAGTAGTAGTAGTAGTAGTAGTAGTAGTAGTACCGTGGATGTAAACAATAAGCGCGAAAATTATTCATAACATTGGATTTCGCCATTCAAAGGCCGCGAGTTCCAGGTAGGGCAAGATCGGCAGCTGCCCGCGAAAATGTAAACAATAAACGCGAAACGCGGAAGCATTTTTTTCAACCCGGGGCCGTTCATGCCTAGCTTGCGTTCCATACTTTTGAACGGCGGAATTCAATGTTACGAATGGGTTTGGCGTTAACTCTTTACATCCAGGGTAGTAGTAGTTACCGTAGTCGTAGTCGTAGTGGTAGTCGTAGTAGGAATAGTAGTAGTAGTCGTCGTCGCCGCCGGCGTCGTAGTAGTAGTAGTAGTAGTACTCGTGGTAGTAGTAGTAGTAGTAGTCGTACTAGTAGTAGTAGTAGTAGTAGTAGTAGGAATACAAGTAGTAGCAGTGGTAGTACTAGTAGTAGCATTGGTGGTAGCAGAAGTCGTACTAGGATTAGTAGTAGTAGTAGCAGCAGTAGCAGTAGCAGTCGTAGTAGTATTAGTAGTAGTAGTAGTAGTAGTAGTAGTAGTAGTAGTAGTAGTAGTCGTAGTCAACGTAGAAGTAGTCCCAGTTGTAGTAGTAGTATTCGTAATCGTGATCTTAGCTGTAGTAGGAGTACCTATGGTAATCGTAGGGGTAGCAATACTCGTAGCAGCATAAGTTGTTCTAGTAGTCGTAGTAGTAGTAGTAGTAGTAGTAGTAGTAAGTATATAGTAGTAACGTAGTAGTCGTAGTAAGTAGCCGTAGTCGTATAGTAGTAGTAGTAGTAGTAGTAGTAGTAACTAGTAGTCATATAGATAGTAGTATATAAAAGTAGCAGGAGTATAGTAGCAGTAGGTAGTATAGGTAGGTATTACAGTAGTAGTAAGAGTAGTAGTCTAGTAGTAGTAAGAATAGTAGGAAGT